TTTTTCATGCTGCTATTTTCAGAGTTAGTTTGTTCTTTCAGGGTGGTATGATCTAAGGAGAGGTGTGGTCACTGCTCTTCTGGCCTGTGCTCTGGTCTGTGAGAAACCACAAACACTCTTTTCCACCGTGGAACTATGTTTAGGAGCTCCACTCCTGCTAGTGCTCCTTTTCACCCTGGGACTGTTACCTAGAAGTAAGACCTGGAACCACATATGAGCAATGCAACAGAGTCCTGCTCCTAGAGCCAGGAAAAGATCCCCAGTAATATCCTTCTTACCACTTTTCTAGCCCTCTTATCATCTGTGGGCTGAGAGCTCTGGAAGGTGCTGCCACCAATTCATTCATCCCACAGGCCTGCTGCTGGCTTGCTGGGACACAGACAGCACTGTACTGAGCTCTCTGCTCATCCCATTGAGACAGACCTTCATGCCAGGTTAAGTTGTCTTGGGCTGTTGTTTTATCCCATTCTTTTGTTGGTTTTGCCACTTCAGAGTTCAGTTTTGAGGCATTTTAACGTTGTTTGGAGGGGAATTTTGGAGAGCTCTGGTGAGTCACCTATCTCTACTCTGCCATCTTCAGTGATTTTAGACTTATTAAAAAGGACATAGTGTCTGATACTAGAAGGGAGGCTGTGGCCCTACTGCATTTTCCCTTGATCATACCACATTTGGAACACTGAGTTCAGTTCTGGGTGCCATATTTTAAGTGACCAAATTGATAATCTGGAGAGTGTCTAAAGGAAGGCAGCCAGCAAAGTTTAGGTCTTCTGGATCTTACCATAGAACCATAGAAGGATTTGTTGAAAGACTTAGAGAAGCCTGGGGTGGCGGGGTGGGGTGTGTGTGTGTGTGTGTAGGATGGTGATAGCTGTGGTCAAGTACTTGAAGGGCTGTCATTGGAATAGAAGGTTTAGACTTATTCTGCTTGGACCCTAAAGCCAGGATGAGGAACCACGGAGTGGAAGCTGTAGAAAGGCAGATTTAAGCCCTCTAGCAGTTAAGAGACATTCAGAAGTTGAGCAGGCTATTTTAGGAGGTGGTGGATTTTTCTTCCTTGGAGGTGTTCAGGCACAGGCTGAATGACCACTTTTCAAGTCTGTCATAGTAGATGCTCTTTTTCAGGCATAGATTGGACAAAATTGTCTCTGATTGCCTTTGCAACCCTGTGAAGTCCATCATAACCTGGACCCCCACCCCCCCTACCTTTCCAGTCCTCTTACACTTTACATATCTCTCCACCCCCACTCCTTCTAGTGACACTCCTACAGAGACATTTCATCTTCTGACTGTGGGCTTTTTCCCTGGTCGTGCCCCAGACATTTAGTAAGCACTTGCTCTTTGCCAGGCATTGTGTTAAGCCCTTGGAGATACAAAAGAAAGGCATGGTCTAATGTGGGAAGACAACCCATAAAAAGATGCTGAAGTCAGTAAATTTATTAAGTATCCTCTAAGAGCTCCTAGTCTGATAGGGAAGACAATATGAAAGTAACTAAGGTTTCGACAGGATAAACAGGAAGGAACCGACTGAGAGAAGGCACTAGAATTAAGAGGGATCGGGATAGGTTTTCTGTAGAAGGTGAGAGTTTTACTGGGATTTGAAGGAAACCTGGGAAGTCACCACTTGGAGATGAGGCAGGAGGGCATTCCAGGCATGTGAAACAGCTAGTGGAAATGCCTGGAATGGGGGGGGGGGTGTATTTCTTGAGGAACAGCAAGGAAGCCAGTGTCAGTAGCTCAAGGAGTAAGGAGAGAGTGTTGGTATGGTATAAGAAGAGTGGAAAGGGAGTGGCGATTTGTGAAGGATTTCGATCAGCAAACAGAAGATTTTAGATTTGATCCTACAGTTAATACAGAGCTACTGGAGATTATTGAGTAGAGGAAGGGACACAGTGACACCTTCACTCAAGGAAGATCAGTCTGATAGCTTAGTGGAGGATGGACTGGAATGGGGAGACGTTTGTGACGGGGAGACCCACTGGCAGGCTATTGCCCTAGTCTGGGAGGGAGAAGATGAGTGCCTGTACCATGTTAGTTGCAGTTTCACAAGAGAGAAAAAGGCATATTTGACAGATGCTGCAAATATGAAATCACCAGGTCTTGGCTGAGGGGGAAAGTGATAAAGAATGAGCAATCGACAATGACAACTAGGTGGTGAGCTTGGGAGACTGGGAGGATAATCCTACCCTGAATAGCAGTAAGGATGTTTGGAGGAGGGAAGTGTTTAGGGGGAAACATAACAAGTTCAGTTTTGGACAGGATGAGTTTAAAATGTCTACAGGACACCGAGTTGGAGATAATAAGAAATTGGAGATCAGAGACTAGAGGTCAACATAGAGGCTTGGGCTGGGTAAGTAAATTTGAGAATCCTCATCATAGAGATGATAATTAAATCCATGAGAGCTAATGAAATCACCATATGAAATAATATAGTGAGAGAAGAGAGGAAGGCCTAGGGAGAAGACCCTTGGGAGACACCCAAGTTAGTAGGGGTGACTTGGATGAAGACCTGGCAAAGGAGACCAAGAAGGAGGAATTGGATGGTCAAAAAAAGGATAATTTTATAAAAACCTGGAGAGAGGAAAATACCAAGAATAGGGTGATCAATAATGTCAGAGGCTGTAGAGAGGTCAAGAAGAATGAGGATTGAGAAGAGGTCATTAGATTTGGCAGTTCAAGGATTTTGAGTAACTTGAGAGAGAGCAGTTTCGATGAGATGATGAGGTCAGAAGACAGATGGTAGAGAGTTAAGAAGAGAGTGAGAGAAGAGAACATGTAGGCACCTATTGTAGACAGTCTTCTCAAGGAGTTTAGCCTCAAAAGTTAGGAGAGATATGAGGTGATATTTAGTGCTATTGGATGGGTCAAGTGGGAGTTTTTTTCCTGATGAGAACAACATAGATGTGTTTTGTAGGCAGTAGACAGGGAGAGATGGAAGCTAAGTGATACAAAGGAGATGACAAAGGGTCAATCTGTTAAGAGAAGACAGGACAGAATGGGATCGTTTGTGCATTCAAAGGATTTAGCCTTTGCACGGAGAAGGTATAGATTGAACTAATTGGTCATTAATATCGACTCCAACTGAAATTGTGTGATTGTGGCATTTGTTATTATCTTCGTTAGATATGTTTTATTTCACTGCTAGATTGTAAACTCTTTGCTAGTGTAACATATGAGAACACATCTTTATCGAAGCCTTCAAATAAATAATGTGAATCAAAGGTTTAGGAAGCTGGTTATAATTAATTTATCAGTAGTGAGGGTAGAAAGAAAATACTGCAGTTTCTAATTTGTTTAAGTATGCATAACAAAATTGCAACCTAAAAAGTTGTAATAGATTATCTAAATGGTTTAAATAATGAAGCTTCCCCCAGGCAGCTAGGTGCTGTAGTAGCTGTAGCATTAGACTTGGAGTCAAAAAGAACTGAGTTCAAATTCTAGTCACACACTGACTAGTTGTGAATTCTAGTCTAGTCACACACTGACCAGCCCTGTGACCCCAGAACAGTCATGTAAACCACATTTTCCTCAGCTCTAAAAGGTGAATAAGATTAGCTTCTATTTCAGTTAGTCAGTAAGCATTTATTAAATGCATACTATATGCCAGGCCCTGGGGATACAAAGAAAGCCAAAAGACAGTACCTGACCTGGAGGAGCTCACAGTCTAGTGGTGGAGACAGCATACAGAAAACTGCAAACAAGCTATGTAATGGATAAGTAGGAGAGAGTCACCAGAGGGAAGGCACTGAAACTAAGAGAGACTGAGAAACTTCACAGGGCTGTTGGGGATCCAGTGAGATAATTATGTAAAGCCCTTTGCAAATCTTAAGTGCTGTATAAATGTTAGCTTTTATTGTTGGGAATCGATAACTTTTTAAAAAAGAGAATACATTACATTACAAGGATATATTTCTTAGCCATCACTTGCCACATCTGCATTAAGTTCATTCCATTTATTGAGCTAAATGATAGTTCTTTCTTGGTAGAAATCTCATCTATTACAGCATCGTAGATTTAGAAGTAGAAATGAACTTGGAGGCCATCTAGTCTAACCCTCATCTTATAGATAAGGAAATGGAAACTCAGAGCAGTACTGCTGGGTTACATAGGTATCACTATTTTGATACTTTTAGGGTTGAGAAATGTCTTTAGAAATAGGTCAGTCCATTCTCCTTCATTTTACAATTGGGGAAACTGTGCCCCAAAGAAGAGAAGTGAGAAAGAGGTGGAATGGGAAGATGATGGTTTTTTAGAGTTAGTAGAGACCTGAATTTGAATCCTGCTGCCAACATTTATGAAATGTCACTTCACCGTCAGTGTCCCGATCAATAAAATGTAGATAGTAATATTTTAGTCCCTGCTCACTAGGTGGTTGTGAGTACACAGTGAGATAATATTTACCAAGTGCTTTTAAGTCTTAAAGCTGTACGTAAATGTCGCCACTATTATTATTGCCCAGGTAGCAAGCTCCTAGTAGACAAGACCCGGAGCTTCTCAAGTTCCTTCTTAGCATCTTGCTGCCCTTATGTAATGGAAATTCACTAGCCAATGAATCTCTTGAAAACATTGTTATTTGCTAAAATTCAGATCTTCTAAGTGATGACATATTACATATAAACTGGAACTTTGCAACCAAGTTATTGTAATGTTCTCGTGATATTGCAACACTCTAGGATAGATAGCAGATAAGGCCCTAGGGCCAAATCGAGCTAAGAATCTTGTATTTAAAAATGAAAAAACAAACAAACAAACAAACAAACCCCACAACATTCTTAGCTTATGGGCTCTAGGATTTTAACAGTTTTCCCTATTTGGTTAAGATTTACAACATATAGCTACAGGGAAGAGGTTTAAATGTGTTTTCTCATCTGTAGCCAAGAATTGTAAGTATTTTTGTCTTAATAGCTTTATTTTTGACCGAGCTAACAGGAAGTCCTGCCGATCAACTTTGTCCTAGTATAGTGTTGCCAAATTACTGATTGTTTAAACCATTTATTTTTCAGATGAGACAGTTTCTCCTGCATTATTGGATAAGAAATGGAATCAGCTTCTAGACCCTCATCTGCTGTCGTTTAGCCCAGCTCTGGCCAGTGTGAATGAAACAGCAATTCCAAGTGAGTCACAGCGGACACAGAAAACCTTCTCCCAGGCTCGCTCCCCGCTCCTTCCATCTGTGGAAGGAGGGGACCGCTGTCCGAATGGAAGAGCGAGTGCTATAAGCCCAGAGACCTCCACCATGTGCACTGAAGATGAGGCTACTTCAGAAGAGCAGCTGATGAAGAGCAGCAGCGACTGGGATGGTCAGTGTGATGCTGTGGACGCGGGAGAGGAGAGACTTGGGAATAGAGACAATCTGCCTGAAGAGAAAGACATTCTTGTGGTAGCTGTCATGCATAACTGTGACAAAAGGACTCTGCCAAGTGCTAATTTACTGGATTGTCATGACTACAATAGCCATTCGCTGATGGATACCATTAGCTTTACACTGGATAATGAAAATAGGCAAAGTGATCCCTTTAGTGTTACTATCAATGGGGCCGATGAAAAAGACATGAACACAGAGAAACCAGGGGTCCAGTTGAACCAGCTGCATGTCGAGGATGATCCTGTTAGCCATCTATGTAATGCTTCACCAGAGAGTCACTCTAATGTCTGTTCTGTTTCTCATTTAAAAGATGATATTAATACAAGTAGAGACACTCCCATTTTAGGAACTGCAAGTGGAGGGACCAGTGCAGTGATCTTATCACAGAGAACAACTGAAGGTCCTGCCACTGATGTGCAGGGGAGTTGTATACCAGTTGAGGCTTCTGCTGGGAAAACCAGCTCTCCCAGGACAGAGTTAGAGACTACAAATTGCTTTACCCATTTGAATGAGAGAGTTTTGATGGAAGAGGAGCCTCCAGATGAGAGAACAGCTGGTGAACCCTTCCAGTCTGGGCTACCTCCGTTTCCTGACCCTGACCAGCTGAATGTCTCTGAAAGGGATGATTGCTGTGAGCAGGTTTCATGTGGGCTTGCGCCTAATGAGACCAAGGGAGATGAAAGCAAAAGTTGTGAACTTGGACATCCTCCGGATACAACAGAATCACTCAGTACGCTGGGCCACTTCTCAGTGTCTGAGGAGGTGACTAAACTAATGAGTAACAGCCCAACAAGTGGACAGAGTGAGAGGCTTCTGCCGAGGAGCCAGCCTGAGGAGGCTTGTAGTGATAGTGGGGAAAATGGGGAGGCAATGGCAGAGTCAGGGGTCCCTTTAAAAGGAGCTTGTGTAGAGGAGCTTGAGGGCTATGGCTTCCCTGCTGTTCTGGACATGCCAGCAGCAAATTCTCTGTCTAATGGTTGTGATTCCTATGGAATGCTAAACCCAGTTATTGCTTGTATTCCAAAGACTTTACCCTCCAAGGAAGATTCAGTCACAGAGGAAAAGGAAATCGAGGAAAGTAAATCAGAATGCTATGTGAATGTTTATGAGCAAAGAGGAAATGAGGCCCCAGAAGGGAATGGGCTTATCTTAAGCAGCACTAGTGACCAAATGAAAAAAAACTATGTTCGTAGTCTCTGTAGTCAGGGCCCATCTGTTCAGGGGCAGCTATCCCCTCAAGTAGTAGCTAACGTGCCACCCATCAGTGTTCCCTTCGGTGGTGCCAGACCGAAGCAACCAACCAATCTCAAGCTTCAGATTCCAAAGCCATTGTCAGAACATTTACAGAATGACCTTCCTCCTCACAGTGGCACTAATGCTAAAAATAAAAATGATGTGTTTGGGAAAGCAAAGTTAGGGGAAAACTCAACAGCAGCTATATTCCCTAATGAGACACTTCATTCCTCTATTGCTGATGCAAATGGGGACCTTGTAGAAGATTATGAGGCTGTGGTCGCTAGTAGTCCGTGCCTTGCAGCAGTCTCAGATAGCCCTGATAATGATCTGAGAGCCGGTCAGTTTGGTGTTCCTACCAGAAAGCCGTTTACCACTCTGGGCGAAGTGGCTCCCGTGTGGGTCCCGGATTCTCAGGCTCCGAACTGCATGAAATGTGAAGCTAGGTTTACTTTCACCAAGAGGAGGCATCATTGCAGAGCGTGTGGGAAGGTAAGGTTCACTTAGAATCTCAAAAATAAGCACAGCTTCTGTTTTTAATTTTTTAAAAATGTTTTAAAGGTGAAGAAGTGAACTTATTAGTTATTGTTATGGCAACCAGGGAGTTCTAACCTCATCAGGAAATGAGTCAATCAACAAGCCTTTATTACTCTTGCCATCTTACTACTTATTTGTGCCAGGCAAAAAAAAATACAACACATATTAATCTCAAGTACAAACGAACCTGATTTCTGTCGTTGTGATTTAAACATATTCAGTTGTATAAATAGCAAGAATTGAGGAAGTGTTAACTCTGTGGTTTTTATAGAGATACATGTTTGGTTAAGTGATCCATTTAAAAATAAGGAAGCTAGTCACTCTCACTACTTTTCTTTATTACAAAATAATACTGACTTGGGAAATTTTATGCTTAGTTTGATTTAAGTTTCAAAATTCTTGTAAAGTTGAAAGTTGGTTGTGCTTGTGGTCTGTCCCTCTCAATTTTGAATTTTTATTTCTCTTATAAGTAATTTGTTGAAATATTGGTCCATAATGTGCTTTTCTACATCTATCATTTCATACTTTTGATCTTTCTTTACCTTAGTGCAAAGACTAGTCTTTGGTTATGTACTTTTTTTGATAAGATGACAAAAGTGAAATATCCCAAAGTTATATTTCTGCTGAAAACAGTGACCTCTTTCTGTACTCATTTTTTTCCCCTCAAGGCCAGTGAACTAGAAGGAAAACTGATTGGTATATTTATTTCATCTAACTTAATTTCTGAATTAAATGCAGCAGAGACATGAAGCATCAAGTTGGGTAATGTGCCAGGTGCTAGAGTAAAAAGGGGCTCTGATTCAAACACAGTCTCTGCCCTGATAGAGATTTTGAGCCTTGTAGAAGGGTGTGACACATATACAAGTCACCTCGGGCAAAATAATAGGATGCAAACAAGTGTTGTATGAAGTCTGAGGGAAGAAAAATCATTTCTGACTCTGGAGATTAGGATAGTCTTCCTGAAGGACGTGAAGTAGCGTTTGCACTGGGCTTTTAAGGTCTTGTAATTTCATTGGTCCTTGAACAGAAGAGGCATTGAAAGCTTTAAGGAATAAGTGTGAATAAAAACCATTTAGACAAGAAAACAGAGGGCACTGAGAGTAGGCCAACTGGCTACTGTATTGAGTAATGAAGAGATGTCATAAAAGAGAAGGTGGGGAAAGAAGGAGGCCTGAAAAGTATGGCCTGAAATTGTGGAGGGCCTTGAGTTTCTGGCCAGGAAATTTGCATTTTCCTTAATGGGCCAATAAGAAGGAATTGAAAGGATTTTGGTAGAGCAATGAAGTGACCAAATCTTTGCATTGATAAGATTTGTCTGTGGTCTAGAGCTATTGATGAAGGTATCATGATGTAGTAAAGAGTTCCCTGGACAGCTGGTCAAGAGCCTTGGATTCTTCTCCTGGCTCAGCCACTGACTAAGAGTAATTCAGCACAAGTAACATCTCCCCATTGGATCTCCATTTCCTTACCTTTAAAATGGGGGAGTTGAACATGATGTTCTCTGAGGTTTCTCTCAGCACTAATGATCTGTTTATCCAAGGGGCAGAGAATGCAAAGAAGAAAAACTGAAGAAACTGTAAAATTCATAAACTAGATGATCTACCTTGGAATTGTGGAGCAAATAAAATTGAACATACCTACTCTGCAAGAGTGAGGTAACTAGTTTTCCAATTCTGTACTTGAAAATGCATAGGGTCATTCCCTCAAACATTATTAAACACTTGTTATATACAATCCACTATGTTGATGTGGGCATCATGTGAAAGTAAATAGATTGGGGAACATGCATTGAAACAGAAGTATACACATTGGTGGGCAGCTAGTTGGCACCATAGTGAATAGAGTGCTGAGCCTGAAGTCAGGAAGACTCATCTTCCTAAATTCAAATCAGTCCTTAAACATTTACTAGCTGTGTGACCCTGGGAAAGTCATTTCACCCCATTGGCTTCAATTTCCTCATATGTAAAATGATCTGGAGAAGGAAATGACATACCACTTTGCCAGAAAAAGCCCAAATGGAGTCACAGATTGTCGGACACAACTGAAAGGACTGAACAAAAACAACAAATGTATATTGGTATATGATTAAGTGTGTAAGAGGAATCTAGAATTAGATAAATTTTGGATGAATGAGATGGATATTAGGTGAGAGGGAACAGAGTCAAGATGGTAGAGTGAGAGGAACCATTTTTGTCTTACACAGCATACCTCCTCTACAACAACTTAGAAGACATGCCAGTCTGAATTCTAATTGGGAAAGTCAAGAAAGAAATCACAGTGAGTCATTTTTTTCTAGCCCAGAGCAGCCTAGGAAGACAGACAGATCTGTGGACACGGGGGTAGGCATGGTGCACCGTCACCACACGTCAGGTGGGAAGGAGCAGTCTAGCGTCCAGAAATAGGAAGGGAGCTGAGACAGAGCAGGAGGGCAGGAAGCAGTGAAGGAACAAAAGATCTCAGGGAATCCTGGAGCTAGTGTTAGGTGCATGTTGGTGCCATCTGGCTGCTTTGTCATTCATCGCGCCATTCTGATTCATAGATTCAGGGTGGAGATGAGTTGTGTGCAGGGACTGTGGACGAAAAAATTCCAGAAATGTGGCTATGAGGAGCTGAGCCAGGAGCAGATCAGTGACTCAGGTCTAACATTTAGCCCAACATGCGAGTCTGCAGTAGAATAACTGGAGCAGGAGATCTCGACCAGAGGGGAGGCAGCAGTTCAGTGTCTCTGAACTTGCAGAACCTCCCATTGAACTAGCAGTGTCTGAGCCTATCAGCCGTGTACTGAAACTGAAGTACATGCAAGCCAACATACCCAAACCTGTATTAGAAATTTGTGGAGCTCAGACCAAGAGGGCAGTCAGTAAACAGACCTTTCCCCAGATCACGTCATTTTGGAAGTACTCAGAACTTTCAGGTTCCCAGACTGAACTGAGAAAACAGCAGAAGGATATAAAAGGAGAGGAATTTTGGTCATGCATTCCCTCCTTCCTCTCCTTCCCAGCACTAACATGAAGTCTAAAGACAAGAAGTCGACTGGGAGAATGAGCAAACATAAAAAGCAATCCATCGTCAAGAGCTGTTGGGGTGATGGAAGCTAAAGGTACAAACACAGAAGACAATGACTTGAAAACATCTATAAACAAAGCCTCCCAAAAATATGCAGGCTGGGCATAAACCCAACAAGAATACCTAGAAGAAAGGGCTGCTAGGTGGCACAGTGGATAGAGCACCAGCCCTGAAGTCAGGAAGACCTGAGTTCAAATCCAGCCTCAGACCAAACACTTGAGACTTACTAGCTGTGTGACCCTGGGCAAGTCACTTAACCCCAATTGCCTTTAAAAAAAAAAAGAATTCCTAGAAGAGTTAAAGAGATTAAAAAAAAAAACAAATAGAAAATTTTAAAACACCAACACAAGAATGATAGAGGGAAAAATGGGAAAAAGAAATGAGAGCTGTGAAGGAAAGTTATGAGAAGAGAATTAACAGCTTGGTAAAAAAGGTACAAAACTTTACTTAAGAAAATAACTTTTTGAAAATTAGAATTCACCAAATGGAAACTAAAAATTTCATGAGACCTCAAGAAATAATAATAAAACAAAGTCAAAAGACCAAAAAAAGAAAAATAGACAAAAATGTGTTATATCTCATAGGAAAAGCAACTGGCCTAGAAAATAGATTGAAGAAAGATAATTTAAGAATCATTGACTATGTGAAAACCATGAGCAAAAAAGAAAGAGCCTAGACATCATATTTCAAGAAATTACTAAAGAACACTGCCCAGATATCTTGGGACCAGAGGGCAAAGTATAAATCAAAAGGATCTGCTGGTTACCTCCTGAAAGAACCCCCAAAATGATAACTTCAAAATGAAAAATAATATAGCCAAAATCTAGAGGTCCAGGATCAAGGAGAAAGTAGGCAGAAAGAATTCAAGTTTGGTGGGCGGAGCCAAGATGGCAGAGTAAAAGCAGTGACTTGCTTGAGCTCTCCCCCAAACCCCTCCAAATTTCTATAAAAAATGGCTCTAAACAAATTCTAAAGCAGCAGAACCCATAAAAAGACAGAGTGAAACAAATGTCCAGCCAAAAACAGCCTGGATGGTTGATCAGAAAGGTATATCTCGCTGGGTGGGGAGAGGAGCGCAGTTTGGCGTGGGCATGCAGGCCACAGCGACCCTGGAGCAGGCCTCAGAGGACTGAATCACAGGCAACTGTGGCGGTTTCCAGACTTCTCAACCCATGAACACCAAAGACAATTTAGAAGGTCAGGGGGAAAAGTCTGTTTCTACGGTGGTGAGAGAGGAGGACGGTGGGGTCCCAGCCCCAATCCCCGTGGCGGTGGCTGCTTCCTGAGCTTCCAGTCCACAGACTGAGGGGGAATGAAGTGGCTGATCAGAGGGGGATTGCAGGAATCTCTCTGCTGGTGCAGGATTCTCTTGCTTTGCCTGTGCTTGGATCTGGGTCATAGTTCTGGGTGGTGGTCCTGGGGTGAGGAGGAGTGCTGGTGTGGTGGAGCTTGTAGTGGCTGTGGAGAGGAAACCCTTCTCATAGTTCCAAGACAGAAAAGAGTGCTCATAGACCAGAGCACAGGCCAGGAAAGGAGTAAACTTCTTGCCCTTGATCATAGCACCTTGGAAGAATTGAAAATTTACAGGTCCCTAGAAGTATCTCTGAAAACAGCTACACAAAACCCCCGAAGCTTGGGACAGTGCATTCTCCACACTGGAAACAGACTCCTACCTTAACAAAGAGTTTATAACTCAAGTAATTGGCTGAGATCATGAGCAAGCAACGCAAAAACAGTCAGACTATAGTATCTTACTTTGATGACAAAGAAGATCAAAACATACAACCAGAAGAAGACAGCAAAGCCAAAGCTTCTACATCCACAGCTTCCAAAAAAATATGAATTGGTCCCACGCCATGGAAGAGCTCAAAAAGGATTTTGAGAAGCCA